CGGTTTGCGGTTTACTCCCAACTCCTAACCGTGGCTGCGTATGCGATCGGCGGCGACCAAAACTCCAATTTGGCCACCCCCAGCTCCCCAGTGCCTTGATGCGGTTCGGTCAGCTAGCTAGCTCCTAAGCCAAGCTGCCGAGGTAATGAATTGGTTAGAAGGCCATGTCCGCGCGTTAAATCCTAGGGGAAATGGCACGGTGGGTGATGGTCCAGAGCGGCAGTCGCGGCGAGGGACTAACCGTGACTCGACGAGACGTTACGACACGGGGACACGTCTGCACGGTGAAGGTAGGAGCGTGTCGACTAGTGCTAGGATGAAACCAAACTGGTGCCCGTGCGGGGTAGGTAGAACGAGGGGTGGAGAAAGCGCCATGAAGAACCGACGGTGGCCGCCATGGCCTCGGCTTGGCCCTGTGTGCGGCCAACCGCAACGGGGCGGCCAACGGGCAGAGACCACAGCCAGATCAACCAACGGCAGCGGCGCGCCCATGTGGCGACTGTTGGGCAACAGACAAAGGTGCGTGTGGCACACATGTGCGACGCGTCCAAGCGCGACGGCAAAACATCGTGGACGCGGCGACCATGGCCACAGAGCTAAATGGCCTAAACCAATGTCGTGCACACTTTTTAAAGCTAAACAAGAACGGCTAACGGCCACGGTTTGGGTTCAACTCCATCTCCTAACCTAAAGTCGATTATACCATTTACCCAGCGAAACCATCGCAAGGACCCGAGAGCAACCCGAGAGGGAGATAGGAGGATGCCAAGATGGGTTCATCAAGCTGGGCGTTGGTTCGTGAACCGAGCAGCAATTCATGGTCCGCAACGCATTCTAACGAAGTTAGGCAATTTCTACGAGAGTGCCATGACACCCATCGCCACCTCGACCTACACCGTTCTCAGGTGCCCATTTCGACGCAACTGACGGTGCAAAACATGAAGCTGGTGTTTAGAAATTTTTGTGGATATTTAAATGTCGAACCAGCATTGTCTATCATCTTTTCAGACTTAAAAGGAATTCAAGGTTCCAGTTAGAACTAACACTCCCTAGCACTTTTGGTTGAATTTTTAAACGGTCTAAGCCTCATCAATCTCAACTAAACAACATGTCATGACCTAGCGTATACTTCGTGCTAACTCATAGAAATAAACATCTAGAAATTATTTAACCTGTTTGTCCAGTACAATTCGCCAAAGATCGATACTTTTAACATAAACTCAAGTTCCTATCGATTCCCGACGAGCTCTCATTCTAAATTTCAGGTTTGATTCCCAAGCTATCAAATTTACTATTAAACAGCTTCCACTCACTAAAACAAAAGTTGCATTCTCATCTACTAACTTGCACTTCAAATTTTTATTTAAGTACTAAATACATGATATATTTTATTTTGTTTACAAAAATTGTTTTTTCGTGCCAAACGATTAAAACTTCCCGTCTATTTCCTTGTCGGGATTTTCATTAGCACCTATATGCGAGTTTTAACTGTAACACCCGAGAAACTTGCCTTGATAATTTCTCTTAAGCCTTAATCTCGGCGCTAAATGAGCTCGTAACACCAGAGGTGTTACATCATGTTACCGGCACTTGTTTGTAGTAAGGGTTACAAACGGGGCGAGAGAGGGAGAAGCTCCCAAGTCTCTTGTGAAAAGATAGAATGGAATAGAGTCTTGCTGAGCTCGTTCAGCTGTGTGCTCGTTTTGCTATGTGTTCGCTGTGAGCTCGTCCCTCCTCGTGGGGCGTCCTCCTTCTCCTTTTATAGGTGAAGGGGACGACGCCGGTTACAGAGAGAAAGGAGAAAAGTGAGGAAGAAGAAGGCCTCTAGGGCCGCTGGGTCCTTCTTCTCCTTCATGTGGGTCCCACCGACATTGTAGATGGTGATGGGGATGGCTCCACGCCGGGCTTCTGTTCACCACTGGTGCCATGCCCCAGCGTCATCAGCTGGTCGTGTCACGCCATCCCGTCCTAGCGGACCGCATGGCGAACCGACGTGCCAGTCAGCGGTCGTACGGGGGAGTAGACGGCGCAGTGACCTTGCACCCATCACTGTTGGTGATGTGAACCCCTAGACGTGGCCTGACATGGCCATGGGTCACGTCGAGACGTGCTTGCTTCCTACCCGGTGTTAGAAGTTTGACCTCGGGGTCGTACTTTCTAACCCGTAGTGGTTGGAGGCGGTATGGGTCCCCGTTGGGCGAGACGGAGCCCGCGCCCCAGGGGTCGGGCGAGACGGCTCCCGTACCCTGGGGGTCGGACGATATGGAGCCCGCGCCCCCAGGGGTCGGGCAAGACAGCTCCCGTACTCTAGGGGTCGGGCGGTACGGAGCCCGCGCCCCTAGGGTCGGGCGAGACAGAGCCCGTGCCCTCAGGGTCAGGCGACACGGCTCTCGTACCGTTGGGGTCGGGCGATACGGAGCCCGCGCCCCTAGGGTCGGGCGAGACAGAGACCATTCCTTCGGGGTCGGTCGAGACGGAAATACGTCTTTGATTATATAGGCGAGTCGTCGTCTGCGGTCCTTAGATCCCTTCTTTGGGTATCCCTAATACTGATACTCGACACATATACACATCCAGATGAAACACTTGCAATGAATGCCAAATGAAACATTTGGAACATACACTTTAAACTGCCATGTATAGCCATTGCAACATGTGCAACATCACAATCTACTTTTGCAACATCAAGATGAAACACTTGAAATGTAAGCTTGCAACATGCGCTGCGCAATGTCACCTTGCTGCTTGGACGAGGTACCCAAGCAGCGTGGGCACACCGGCGAAGGAGAGCGCCGCGACGGCAAGGAGCTTCCACACTCCGTGGTCGAGGTCCCCGCCAGGGAGGTCCGTGTTGATGAGCGCCCGGAGGAGGTCGCCGTTGTCATCCCCACGCCACCGAAGACGTCCGACTCATTGACCATGTCGGCGTCAACGAGGTTCTGGAGGAAGAGTGGGCGCTGCGTGGTGAGGTTCTAGAGGAGGAGTGAGCGTGGCGTGGTGGCAAATGCGGCACGGAGAGAGATAGGGGCGCCAGGTGGAGTGGGGCGGGCGCTTATGCGTTGAAGCCGCTACAAGCGAAATGAGTGGGGATTTCCGTTCGTAGGGGTTATGTCGCGGGGTAGAGATGGAGGAAAGAGCACAAAGGAAAGCAGGCTGATTGTTGTTGGGTCCGATTCGCTACGCAGGCCTAAGAACGGGGCACATCCGAATGCACACCGGGACAAACACCCTAATTATAGCATTAGCAATGTCTAATTTCACCCTTCGCTAGAACATGCCTATACATCGTACATGGCGCCCGTCAAGCCGTCAACTGCCATCGTTTTCATTTTCCCTCATCTTCATCTCAACAATGTAACTCACCTCGTTACCCTGGACGTGGATTCTCTAACGTGAGGAACAAAAGTCACGGGTGACTTTCCCCCCTCCCGATGCCATCCATTTAGAATCCAGCGACTCTGGTGACCCTTCAGCTTTCTCTGGCAGCCCAATAAGACCCAGTTCGCAGACTGAGACAATAATAAAGAGATGTAACAGAGAGACTAAAGTGTACATACCATTTATTTTACCGCAGAACTGGACAACAATTTCACGTAAACATTTTTAATAGTTCCATGCTAATAAATAATATCCACCAATCAAATGAAGTGAGACTGTAGACCAATGACGGATTTTTTCTTCTGATTTTCATATTTTTAAATTCATTTTTTGCAAAAAAAAATCCATACCAAAATTTTCCGTTTAGGCATTTTTGTTTGGAGCCATCTCGAGGGACTGCACTGCGAACATTGTCCTACATCGACTGTGGTCCGCGACATTGACCAATGCACTATGTCGACTAGTGTACGTGGAGCTGCCGGTGCCTTAACATGGGTCCCTCTACTGGGTATACTTCTAATCTTACTGTCTCTATGTTCAGTAAGGTTTTTTAGTCTTAAACATGATCGGTATGTTCATCATACTTGGCACTAGTAGTTCACACGTGCACATTTATTGTCACGAATTTACTGCTATTTTCTAGATTAAATTAAACATAAAAATGCCTAAATTTCTAACAACAGTAAGTGCTTCTGGTTGGTTCAATCGGCAGCAATATTATAGTTTTGCTATTTTTTGTTTGGATTTTTTTTTTGCAAAAGAAACGAATTTTGTAAGAGAATATAAAAATAGAAAAATCACATTTTCCTCACCTAAACCACGTTCATACGATGAAAAAGTGTTCTCCCTCCTCTGTCCGTGAACTGCCGAACTAGACTACCATTTTATTTCTGTGCTAGGCAGGCATGGCACTGTGAAAGCTGAAGGGTCACCAGAGCCGTTGGATTCTAAATGGACGGCATCGGGAAGGGGAAAAGTCAGCCGTGACTTTTGTTTCTCACGTTAGAGAATCCACGCCGCGTTACCGTTGCCATAACCTGATACACCCTGTAGCTGTAGCCCTCGGGATGGGGAGTCAATGGCCTTGACTCTTGAGCACTCTTGATCAGTTCTGCTCCTTCATTCACCGGAAAATCGAGCACTTGCTTATGGTATGAAACGTCACCAGTGACGGTGAGCTAACGTTGAAAGCTTGGCGGTACCTGAAAACGACGGCGCAACGGCGACCCATCCTCTCTGACGCCATCGCCATTTCCCTCACTCCTTCCCACCTGCTGCCGCGAGTGCATGAACAACGGCAACCAGGGACTTTCCAGCGGCATCTGCCCCTGCTCACTAGAGCCACCAATCTGGCTTTGCCTCCATCGATTGTTTTATGCCTGGGTTCCAGTGAAATTTTGTAAAATTACTTGTATTCCAAAGGCTTTCTTGTAAAACCTTTCGCTGAAGCCTTTTGGGTACTAGTATATTTTTGTCACTATGTTTTCTTAAATTTTCAAAGGATATCACCAACGTCGTTGAATTATCAGTCCTAAGTTACTACTAATCCATTCTTGCTTAGCCACACACTCCAAGAGGAGAGTTGGTGTAGGGAGAGGAGAGGGCCAGGCCAGGAGCAAGGCATGACGAGCAAGACGAAGGCGGTGGTGCGACCAAGATCGGCGCACCTCTCTCTCCTCTTCCTGCTCCTCCTTGCCCCGCCTTGTTCCGCGCAGGAGCAAGACGGCGGCGTCGCCCTCCACGGGAGCTTCGTCCGCTGCGTCGCGCGCCTCTCGCCGGCGACCGCCGATCCGTCCCGGCTCGTCCACGCGCCGTCGGCCGCGTCCTACCCGTCCCTGCTCAACGCCACCATCCAGAACCTCCGCTTCGCCTCGGCGCGGACGCCGCGCCCGGCGCTGCTCCTGACCCCGGCGACCGTCGCCGAGGCGCGGGCCTGCGTCGCCTGCTGCCGGCGCCACGGCCTCACGGTCCGCGCCCGCAGCGGCGGCCACGACTACGAGGGCCTCTCCTACCGCTCGGTCCTCCGGCCCGGAGCCGACGCTGGAGCCCGCTCCTTCGCCGTGGTCGACGTCGCCGCGCTCCGCGATGTCCGCGTCGACGCCGCGCGCCGCGTGGCCCGTGTCGGGCCGGGCGCCACGCTCGGGGAGCTTTACTACGCCGTGGCGCGCGACAGCGACGGGGCGCTCGGGTTCCCCGCGGGGATCTGCCCCACGGTCTGCGTGGGCGGCCACCTCAGCGGCGGCGGGTTCGGCCCCATGATGCGGAAGCACGGGCTCGGCGCGGACAACGTGGTGGACGCCGAGGTGGTGGACGCCGAAGGGAGGCTCCTGGATCGCGCGGCCATGGGCGAGGGCCTCTTCTGGGCGATCCGCGGCGGCGGCGGCGGGAGCTTCGGCGTCGTGATTTCCTGGACGGTGCGGCTGGTGCCCGTGCCGCGCGTCGTCTCCGCCTTCACCGTGCGCCGCCTCGTCCACCGCGGGGACCGACGACAGACCCAGGCGGCGGTCCGGCTCCTGGCGAAGTGGCAGCGCGTGGCGCACGCGCTCCCCGACGACCTGTTCGTGAAGGCGGCCATGGAGCCGGAGCTCGACGGCGCCGGCGAGAGGCACCCGCTGGTGACGTTCAAGTCGCTGTTCCTCGGCAACTGCAGCGGGATGGTCGCCGAGATGAGCGCCCACCTACCGGAGCTCGGCGTCCGGGCGAGCGACTGCAGAGACATGAGCTGGATCCAGTCGATGCTCTACTTCTACGGGTACACGGAGGCCGCGGAGGAGGTGCTCCTGGACCGGAGCCTGCAGCCCAAGGACTACTACAAGGTGAAGCTGGACTACGTGACGACCCCGATCCAGGCGGCGGGGCTGGCGGGGCTCCTCGCCAGGGTCGTGGAGGACAGGGGCGGGTCCATCGACGTGGACCCGCAGGGCGGCGCGATGGGCGAGACGCCGGAGTCCGCCACGCCGTACGCGCACCGGCGAGGGTACCTGTACAACGTGCAGTACTTCGTCAAGTGGGGCGGCGACGCCAACGTGTCGTACGAGGACGCGCACCTGGCGTGGGTGCGGGGCGTGCACCGGTTCATGACGCCGTACGCGAGCGCGAAGCCCCGGGCGGCGTACGTCAACTTCAGGGACCTGGACCTGGGGCAGAACGTGGAGGGGGAGACGACCTACGAGGCCGCCAGGGCGTGGGGGGAGATGTACTTCAGGGGCAACTTCCGGAGGCTGGCCGTGGTGAAGGCCGAGGTGGATCCCGACCAGGTGTTCTGGAGCGAGCAGAGCATCCCTCCCCTGCTTGGGGTTGGGGAGGAGACAGGGGAACGGCACAGTCCGAGTGGGCTGCTTTCGGACAGTTGATGAGTGAGCTTCTCCTCCTGTTCTGTTCTGCATAGAATGTGATGTGCCTGCCAAAGTGCCAATAGCCAATGATGTATAGTGTACCGTATTACGATGACAATGATGTATCTATCATATATTCATGTAGCGCCAGGACATCCGGACCGGATGTCGCGTTCGGACGTGGCTCCCACACCTGCGTCCCGCGTCCCGCCCAACACGGGGAAACCTACATTCGCATCCCGCCCAACGCCTCGCGTCCACGTCCCACCCAACACCAGTGCCCACGTCCATCGCTGTCCACCAGCCATCGGTGTCGTGCAACACCCGATCTACTTTTGAAACATTCAAATGAAACATTTGCAACATACGTACGAAAACAGATGAAACACTTGAAACATTCGTTTGAAACATGTGTGTATAGTCATAATAACATATATGCAACATCCAAATCTACTTTTGCAACATCCAGATGAAACACTTGCAACATAAGTATGAAAGATACGAAACACTTGAAATATACGCTTGAAACATGTGGGTAGAGCCATAACAACATATGCAACATCCAGATGGAACACTTGAAACATACGTTTGAAACACCTGAAACACTTGAAAACACAGGCTTACAATATGCGTACATTGTCATTGCAACATATGCAACATCGCATATCTGCTTTTGCAACATCCAGATGAAACACTTGAAACATAAGTCTGAAACACTTAAAACACAGCGTCGCCGGCGACCACGACCTACCTGGTGGGGAACTGCGGTAGCAAGCTCGAGTCTAGAGGACGTCAAGAGCTGCCCAACGTATACCTAGGAGCATGCGCAGGCCTCCCCTTCCTGCCGTGATATATTCGACCGAACGCGGTGCACACCATGGCCGCGACAACCCTGTTGGGTCGGATGGCTGTGCAGGCCGAAGAACATGGGAGTCCGGACAAATATGCCTAGATGGACGCCCTCACCAAAGAATTTCTGTATATTCACGTGTCGACCTTCGGAAAAAAAAAACCCCGAAAGCCAACAGGGTAATTTTTTAATTCTGCGCGTCATCTTGTTGCTAGTTTCAGCATTTTCAGTGTGGCATTGCTGATATTGCGAAGCAAACAAGAGTATTGGCGCCCATGCTATGTACAAAACCAACACTGAAACTGCAGGGCCTCAACTCAAGTTGCTGTGGAGGTTGACATGGAATGAGCTAGAAAACCAGCTCGGCTTTGCCGCGCCCTCTGTGGAGTGGGTCAGCCTTTTTTTACAGGTTCTGTTACTCCTCTTTTCTCTATATCTTCTCTACCTTTCACTATATCTTCTTTGCAAGACGTATTAATACTGCTAAATGTGCATTTCTATTTTCTGAGATCTTGAGAACAAATGTGTATTTCTATTTTCTGCCCAATCAAATGTTGTTCTTTTAGGAGGTCTAGAACCCGTCATAGATATCACTTAATTTGTCGACAGGTTTTTAGATAAGCTAGGAGGCATAGCTTGTGTCTATCTATTATGAATAATAAACAGATATCAAATTGTTTTTGTCTTCAATTTAATTCTGTTTTTTGAGAGAGGTCCCTGGAATCATCTGAGAGGTCTCAAGCTAACATAAACATGGACCACTTTAGCACGAGATGCTAGAACTTTATTGAGATTTATTGGGATCGTGCCATCTTCTTTGATACAATCCAGAGTGCAGCATCAATTCTTTTTGGAAGTCTATTATTACAACATGGGAGATATGGAGACAAAGAAACGCTCAAATCTTGAGGGGAAGGTGTATCAATATATTAAGAAGAAAAGGGGATAGAACCCAATAACATCACACAACCCCACGACACAGATAGATCACACCCACAAAAACAAAAGGAAAAGGAAAAGGAACTCGCCAAAGACTGCAAGCACAAACAACCTCGGCCAGCAAACTAACTAACGCTGGACCTAAGGGTGAGGAGATGTGAAACCCCTCGAGCCATAGCTAAACACTAGAAATGTAGCTCCTTCCCAATGAACTCTAAAACTCCATTCGAACTAGACGAGATCCCATCAAACATGCATCGATTGCGGAGATTCCAGATTGGTGCCATGCTCGAAGCATGATAATGGAGTTGAGGCCTCCAACTGTTGTTTGAAACGTTCCAAAGTGATTAAAGGTTCAACATCAGTGTCAACACTAAGAGATCCTACCTGTCTTTAATCAGGTTAACCATACAAGAGAGCTCAACAAACTAACGTGCCTTCCATTTTCTAAGTAGGTGATCATAGATGTCTCCTTTGTTAATCTTCCGCAGGCACCGCTGCAGCTTGGACAGTGTCGATGAACTCAACTTGATACCACGATCAACCATGTCTTCTGCATACTTGCATCATTGCATGCCTCAGGTAGCCTGACATCCTTCAGCTTTGATACAAGCATGTTCCCACACTCCTCTAAAGGTGGCAAGCCATTCTCCACCACGCAGCTCCAGACTTTGATCCCAGTCTCCCAATAGCGTGCATCCAAAAACAAGCGAAGTGCACGTGCACAATTTCCCTCGTTTGGCCAACATTCGTTCTTAACCATCTCGCTAAATATTGCCGCTGCCTTACGGAGCTCCCTTCCCTCCAGCAAAAGCTGGAGGACCACATTGTATGTGTTGGAATCAGGGAACACTCCATCAAAGATCATGTCGTCGAGATAATCCACTATCACCTCAGCATGCCCAAGACTGCCCTGCAGCATGATCATTGTGTTATACATTTCCATGTCTGGCACGAGTCCTCCACGCCCAACAAACTTATCCCAGAGATAAGTGGCACCGCGCAGTTCTCCTGCCTCAAGGTGTGCGCCGAGAGCAGCATGGAAGAACCTCTCTCCTGCTCCTGGCGAACAGCCGCGCCTGTTTAAGAAATCTAGATAGTACATTGCTTCTGGTAGCGCCGTGGAGGAGTCGCTTGAAACAAGCGTAGTGAGGAAGGCGTCTTAGGCAGGCACGTTGTCAGGATCAACACCAATGGCGCGCACCATTTCGTCGAACACGACGCGCGCGGCCCGCGGGTCGGCGGCAGCCTCGCAGCCCTCGAGGAGGATGGCGTAGGAGTCGGCGTCCGGACGCGTGCCGGCCTCGGCGCGGGCTACCAGGATGGCGGCGCGGGCGTCGTCCAGGCGGTCGGCACGACAGAGCGCGGAGAGGAGCGAGTTGAGCGCCGGCGTGTCGTCCATGAACGCCTTGAGCGGGGAACAGCCGGGGCTCGCCGCCAGGGAGGAGAATACGGAGGCGAAAGTGTCGAGCGAGAGCAGCCGCCGCGAGTGCATGGAGTCGACGGTGTCCCACATGCGCGCGAAGAGGCGGTTTGTGCCGAGGATGTCGACGACGAGGTTCCACGAGTAGGGGGAGTGGTGCTCGTGGCCGAGGTGCCGGTTCCCCGCCCAGTGAAAGAAGGCGGTGGCGGCGCACGGGTGCGCGTAGGATAAGCGGAGCACCTGCTCGACGTCAGCGGTGGTTACGCCGCGGATGTCGGCCTTGTCGAGCGCGGCGTCCACGTCGTCGTCGGCGCGGGAGGCCAGGATATCGCAGAAGATGCGGGTCTTGGAGGGCAGGTCGGGGGCTTCCTTGTTCGTGGGGAACGCCGGCGCGGACGGGTCGCGGGTGCGCTTCGCCGCTGGCGATGCCATCGTGGCTGCGCTGTCGGACGGCCGCTTCGCCCTGGTGATGGGACATCACGGCGGGGGAACTCGAGTGGTGGCCTGGACGGTGGACCGGACCCCGAGAGGCTGCACTGCTGCAGGGGTCAGGCTGGGCCGGTGCCGGTGGGGAGTTATTTATGTCACGTATTATTTCCTTGGTGCCTCTTCCAAGAAATAAGGGGAATAATTTTATAGGAATCAGAAAAAACGTAGAAACAGAAAAATTTTTTCGCAATCCAAATAGGCTATTAATATTTATGTATATATAATTAATATTATTAGATAGACCGTTGAATCTATTTTTATGAAAAAATTTATTTGGAGATACAAGTGTTATATATTTTTTATAAATCTAGTCAAATATATGAGCACGCAAACCAACAACGACAAAAATTAGTATAGTTTTGGACACCGGACGTAGAAAATGGGATATCACTAAAAGACTATGCCATGCTCGGGTGTCGGAACATTTAATTTTTTTCTTCATTGTCTTTTTCCTCCTCCCCACACACCGTCGCCACCTAGTGCCCACCGCCCCATAGCGTCAGAGCTCCGGTGAGACCCTACTGCGCCTGCGGCGGCCATCTTCTGATCCCCTTCCCCCCTCCTGCCGCTGCTATGACCATGGGAGCCCTCGCCCTGATCTGGCCTAGCCACCTCCTCCGTCGCTCTCCCGCTGTCCCCATCGCCTGAGCGGCCTACCTCCCCCAAGCCCCTTCTAAGCCCATGGAGTTGGGGAAGAAGAGGGAGAGAGGCCGGAGATGGAAAACAATGAGAGGAAGAGGAATCGAGTGTTGAGAGGGAGAGAAACACTCGAGCGCGAGATAGCTTTACCGTACTAGTAACATGCATTTGTGCAGTTGTGCTAGTGCCACACACCTGACAACACTTGAGGGACTTTCAGGTCAGGCCTATAATGAAAATTCCTTTTTGCTTGCACGGTATCCTTGTATTAAAAAAATGAAATAACTTTGCTAGAGGGAAAATAGGGTGAGTTTTAATTTTGTGTACAAAAATAAATAAATGGTGAAGACAACCAGTCACAAAAAGAAATAGACGTTGAAGGCAACCGGTTCTTTAGAAGTATTATTACCAACCACAAATGCCTTCAAGGAGGGTAATAACGGCGCTCCAAAACCTTTCATGGATATTCTGGGTGAAAACCTTGTCCCTGTTGGGCAGGCAGCGGCGGCGCTATCTGCGTTGCGCTCCTCCTTGAAGGCATTGCCTTTGAAGTTCACTGGCCATGGTGCGCACAGGGCTGCCTCCCCCTCTTCCTTGGTGCTACATGTGGCTGTCGCCGCTTGTGGTCCTGCAACATCTTCTGTCAAGCTGTGGAGATTAGTGTTGTGCCTATGATCCGTCCGCGCGCTTCATACCTTCAACACGTGTTTGTCCTACACGGTGGTCGCTTCTTCGGTGAATTCTTTGCCCCTTTGTTTGTCGCTTCCCGATCGGCTGCTGCCGACGCACTCCTTTTCTGGCGGATGCTTTGTCGTCGGTGTCGATGGTTCTCGCTGAGCGGATACTTTGTCATTGCAGCTCTTGGTGATTGCTTCACGTCATTTTGGCCTTCCTAGCGAATGTTTTGCCGCTACCATCACACTTCTTGTTTCTGACGGATACTTTGCTGTTGAGGTCACTGTGGTTTCTCTCTAGCGGATACTTTGTCGTCTCTGCTGTTGAAAGCTCGTCTAGTCTTCTTTGGGTGGATGCTTCGACACTGTGGATTCAAGGCCTTGTAGGCTACCTCTGTGTTGTTGTCTTTTGGTCATAGGTTCAGTCTACGAGGGTGTTGAGGCTGGGTCTTCTTTCCTTCGTTATTTCTCTTGCTGCTCCTTGTGCTTTTGGGTTGTTGTGGTAATCCTAGGATTACTTACAAGTCCTGTGTAGCTGAAAATTTCTACCTCTGCTTAATGAATACCGTGCCAAGCCACGTTTAAGGAAAAAAAGAAGTACTATTACCAAAGAAAAATGCTACGAGTATGACTATACAAGCAACAACAAAGACGCCCATGCATTACGAAGCAGCAGTGGATATGTACCTTCTCCTTACAACGTCTTGGGCTCCATAGGCTTCCCATGGACATGTACCTTCTCGACTTCTCCTAACAACGTCTTGGGCTCTTGGCCGCAGCGAAGCATTACTATAGATTGACTTACCACTATCGCCACTTTCACTACCGTAGCGATATAAGCGACTGTGTTATGCTTTCACCGCCGATTGGACCGATATCAAGGCCTCCTGAGGAAGGAAATCAACAATTGAAACTTCTACCACCGACGGTTTAACAATAGATGTGGCAATGGTATTATCTCAGTCGTATGAAAAGCCGAGCCGATTGGGATACGTGTTATGGCCGCGGGCCCTCCATGACTATTTGGTCTTTCGGCGGTGAAGTCAGCGTGAGTTATTTCCCAACTACCCACAACACAGTTGCATCATCATTACTTGCACTTCTCCATCTTCAAGGTTGGCCTATTTAACCAGGGTCTAGATGCACCTCTTGGGCTCAATCCATACACTCTTGAATCCACACACTCGTGAGCTACTGTATCTTTCCTCATCGTCAAGAAGTGCTTTGGCTTCATCCTTGCACCTCTCACGGCCTCCGTCCGCCTAGGTGTGAGAGGTGCAAGATGGAGATAAAGCACCTCACAAGGTGTTTGGAGAAGGCCTTCAAGATTGGGTGCTTTAGATTCCATAACCTTGCTGCCTTTGTGGATCGAGATGCAGATTTACATCCCTCGATCCTCAGAGGTAGCAAGATTATGGAATATAAATCACCTCACTGAGATGCTGGTGCAAGTTTTGTGAGGTGCTCCTTCTCCATCCTTTGCGAGGTGCTACCGTCGAACAGGAGCTTGACCTTGATGATTGTAGATCTTCTTGCAGATCTTGTGTTAACAGAAGATCTGCAATCATCTGGTTCTCTCATGTTCAAGGGCTCCATACTCGATTAGGGTGCTTCAAGTTTGTAAGGTGCTCGTTCTTCAAGATTGGGTGCTTATATTCCATCCTGCAGCTCTCACGGTCAAGAAGCAGATCACATCCCTTGACCATGAGGGTTGCAAGATGGAAGGTAGAGCACCTCACTGAGGGTAAAGTTTTGCGATGTGCTGTGTCGTTCTTTAGATTCCATAATCTTTATACCTCGGAGGATCTGCTGCTTTGTATGTGCAAACCACCGTATGGTACGGATCTGTTATCGTGTAGACCTCAATGGAAAATACGTAAAGAAGTACTACTGAAGTATCTAATTTGGGTTGATACTTGATAGCCGAGTCTCATTAGCTCAAAATAACTGGCACCTAGAGTGTAGCCTTCAGAACAAAAAATAACAATAAAAGACATAGGATCAAAAGTGACATTCGAATAGTAGATTGTTTACTTATAACTTATAAGACCTTAGATATAATCTATGGTCCTAAGAAAACATTGTTTACAACATCTTGTGCATGGATGGTCACTACGATAGCCTCGGCAGCATTAGAGAAGTCTCCAATCAGGTCATCTTGATCTTCCAGCCGATCAGTGCCCGAAAAACTAGGTTCTAGGTGATGGAGCTCGTGCCCTGAACGTAGTTGCGCTGCAGCAAGAGCGGCACCGGCACCATAGCAGACGCCATGAGTTGCCACTTCTCTAGCATGAACCAGGATATCCTGTAGGCAATCTTCAAGAGAAACACCCCTGGTGTTGACTGTTGCAACTATGCCAAGTGCTGCACGTTGGAGGGTCTCATGGTGATTCTCTAGGTCGATCTCCCGACGACAAGGCTCCTCAATCTCATGACAAAAAGTAGCCAACTGTTCCTCAAGATATAATGAAAATGAAGGGTTATCGGATAAAGTCACGAATATAAAAGCAAAGACTCTTCAAAGAAATTTTACCTGCTGCCCTAGCATGAGCTTCATCAGCCCTCATCTGAGCAACAATGGTCTCTTCTTTAGATGTAGAGAGGGTTGTTTTAACGGCATCGAGACATTGCTCGAGCGAACCTACCTCAAGCGTGGCTTCAGAATACAGGTTTTTGGCCTCCCTCCTTTCACGGATAAGATTCCAGATATCCTGCCCCAACTCGAAGGATGAAGATGAAGATGAAGATGTACCGCAGCATGAGAGGTAGCCCTGCATATTCAAAGGATTAATGCAAGGCAGCCATAGAGATAAGAAATCATTCCCTCTCACCCTTGGTGGCGAAGAGGGACACGAAACCGCGGAGGTGGATCCACGGCTTCTAGAGTTTCCACCCTTGGACGCTTGCTGTGAGCCATTATTCAGAAGAAGACTAGAAGGAGAAAACGAAGAAAAAAAATCACAGAACAACAAATAAACACAAGTGTGTTCCTTCTACTCTGCCTTGCCTCCAAATTTATAACCCTAGGGGACCTCTATAATGGGCTCATTGAGTTACGCGTGAGATTAGGGGGCATGTGTTCACACTAAAATTTGTTACTCCCTCCGTCCCAAAAAGAATGCAATTCTCGCTTCCCGAGGAGTCAAGGGATTTCAACTTTAACCAAAATTACACAGAAAATACTAACATTTATAATCCAAAATAAATATCAATAGATTAATGATAGAATATATTTTCATAATAAGTCTTTTTTGGGGATGGAGGTAGTAAGATGCACATGAAGCCCAAAACTCAAAGAAGCGTGCATGAGTGCTGAATGTTGTCGACAAAATATCGTTGGCATCCCTCGAGGGGTATCCCATGAAGGTAGATTGATCGGAAGAGGAGCGCGTGATCAAGAACAAGAAGACAACAGAGACACACGAGTTATACAGGTTTAGGCCGTCAGTATGACGTAATACCTTACTCCTGTGGTCTGTTGGTTTGTATTAGCTATCGTATGATATGTCGTGATTTTGGAGGGGGTCCCTGCCCGCCTTATATAGTCCGGGGGGTAGGGTTACAAGTCAGTTAGATCTGAGAGATAACCAAAAGTAATAACAGATTACAAGAATCATGGGATCGTACGTA